ATCATTTCAAAATATTAACCATTGACTCAATATTTTTCTCTAATGTGTTTTGGTCATCAAGTGTGACTTGTTCTTACCTTCTTAAGCTCATCTCATCAACGGTCATCTCGGAAAAACTTTCTTTTCTGTTGATCTTCAGGATTCAAACTGATTGATACCAAATCCATGTTCAAGGTTGTTCTGACAACATGTTTATTCCTTTAGACCTTCTGGCTGCTTCAAAATAAAAACTAAAGCCTTTTATGAAAATAGCAAGACTCGCAACTCTCAGCGGTTCCTCTGCTTCACTGCTCGGGTTTTTACTCCAGAATATTCAGCACTGAGGGATTGGGTATGGCAATGTCGTTTTATTTCTAAGGACTTTCCTAATCCATATTAATTGCAATTTGGAACCAGGTACGCTGGCCAAAACCTGGAGATAATGCATTGCTTCATTGCTGACTGATATCATCTAGAGTGGCCCAGCACCTCAATTATCCTGGACTCATGTCATCACTCTGCTGTATATGGCTGTCTTATCAGCTGGGGAGAATCTTAGTCCATAGAACGAGGACAGCAGGGAAACTCTGTGGACTTTTCATCACCCCTCAGAGCCAAACAGATTAGCATTGTACAGCCAAAGTCAATATCTTTACACCTGCTTTACATAGAGCCAGAGCCACATTTTCATCTTAATGGCTTCTCATGTTATAGGATATCTGAAATGAAACAGTCTCCCAGCACTGAAAGAACATATAGAGGTAACCACTAGTGGATAAGCTGACCTAGTGCTGTCTCATCAGTCTCAGGTTTGTTGGCCTTTAGTGTGATCTGGCTCGGATCATTTTATTCTCCAGCAATACAACAAAATGAACAGAAAGGTTAGCTGACAACAAATAACAACGTAGAATGCATCACTCTGATCCAGGAAATCACAGATTCTTCTAAAGGAAGTCTTTGCGGTCAAGGATACCACAGTAAACATCCTGTGAAGACCAAATCTGCTTCTGATGCCAGGTGTGACTAGTATACATACAGTACCACAGCGTCTCTAGGCGACACACACCGTACATGTAATAGGCATGCAATAGATGTGAAGCAATGCAAAGAGGTGGACTGAAAGTGTCATTGTGAGTTGTGTGAAAAGGTGAATGTACATAAATGAAAAAAAAAAATACAATTTGAAAAGTCATCAACATAATGTTTTACCTTTAGGAAAAACTACAAAGAGACGAAATGTGTCAACATTTGCTCGTGCTATGGAATCTAAACAAAAATTGTTTTGTATCAAAAACTTCGGAGGTTAATGATGAAACTCTTAAAAGCAAAAACTGTAGCAGTACTACATACATTATGTTTTTGTGACTGACACTTTAGAAACAACAAATTTAGGGCCAGTGGGCTATATTTGTCCTTGTCGCGCTACGGAGAGTTCAATGCCTCATAATCTAATTTGAACTAAAGGTCAGTTTATTTTCCAATTGCAGGGTTTAATTAAAGAACACAATCTTGCTGATAACACCATTGTCCAGCAAACCACAGTTTGAATTTATAAAAGAAATCACTTGTATCACAAAGAGCCCAAGTACCACTATTTGTACAAGTCCCATCATTGAAGCACCAAAGAGCTACAGGATATTTGGATCGAGTGCAGGATGTAAGCTGACGCTTCAAAATTACTATAGAAATTATACAGTATGAAGTCATTTCTGTGAAAATGAATTGCAAATTAGAATGTATAACAGTGTAAAGCAGTGAGTTATTTTAAATTTGCAACTGCGACAAAAGGGTACATATTCTACTATCTTCTCTGTATCTTTGCAAAAAGTTCATTAAGTTGAGAATCATAACAAATACACTAACCAAAAATAAATTTAAATCCTTTAACTTTATTTTTTAGCCTGCATTTTTGTGAATGACATTGAACACAAGGGGAACAACCAGTATTATTCACTGTTAGCTATGTTGCTCAGCCACTCATTCGTCGTGTTGCTGCAGATGTTTACAGAAAACTATGAGAAGGTCAAAGATCAGATGTCTGTGATTTCAAATGTAAAGTAGATAATCAAAACAGAGACAATTAATTCTCCTGTCTGACATTAAGACGCCTTCTTTATCATAAAAAATGATAAATGATTGATTGGATTATTGTGATGTGGCTCTTATAGCAGAGACAGGGATGTTGACTGATGTTTATGGTAAACAAACGAACAAATGTCATCTGTTTGAACTACTGCCACCTGATGGTCTGTTCAGATAAATGCTGCCGAGAGAGTGTGATTTTCCTAGTTGTCATTAACACATTATATAAAAGGTATCATTAAGTTTTATTAAAAAATGTTTTTGCATATGACAAAATGTGACAATCTTTGTGGGTCAAATGGTTTCATAGTCAGTAGAAATGAGGTCGCAGAAAACAATACATTAGTGTTGACCAAAACTCAGATCCCACCATACAGTCAAGATCTGAGGGGCTTTCATTTGGGCTGAAATCAATCTAGACTGAGTGCCGTCACACTGAGTCCTCTTTATCAGTTTGAGTGGCACACAAATAATTTAGCGTCTTTGACAAAAATGAAAGGACGGGTTTCTAGGCCTTTGTTGGCTAAAATGTCATCACCTGGCGATTATACAGGCAAGTCTTTGCATCATTCTGAGGGCTCCCTCAGAGAGTATCGCTGTTTAAGCTTCTCCTGCTGGTTGACATGGCTATTATACTGTATATATAACAAATACATTCATCCAAAGTAGGTGGAAGCTCAGTCGGTCTGGGCAAAAACACTGGCCACAAAATAAAAAAAAAAAAGTTAGACAAAAAAACAAGCATGAGTTATGAACTAACACGTAAAATTCTCACTTATTTGAAATGAAAATTTTTCATCTGTTGTGTCACTAGGATATCGTTGATGTGCTTATTCATCTTCACCACCCTCAACCAGCCAATATTTCCCATCACTTATTGTCCCACTGCCCACTTGTGGGAACTCAACAGAACTGGGTGTGAATGACCTCCAGGTGATGACACAAACAGTCACACATGCTCGATTTTGCCAAGGAAGAAATGGGAACCTCTGAAGCGGCTACAAAGAATTTCTCAGCAGCGCTATTAGAACAACATTTTGCTAAATGATGATCTACAAACTGGTGTTGAGTCACCTAATCTGAAGACTCCTGAATGGAGCTGAGTGATGGGACCACTGCAGTGCAGTCTGAAGGGGAAAAGTGGGAGGCTGTGCCAACTTCCTATCACATGGACTGTACTGTCAACGAATGGAACATCATCACAGACACTTGGGTTTATACTGTGTTTATAACACCTGCAAATTATGTAGATCATTGTTCTCTAGCAAGAACAACATACTAAGACAGACACAACACATTGATGGTGTTAATTAATTTGTGATTTTTGATTTTTTTTTTTTTTTTTTGCTTTAACATGTTACAACACTACACTACAGTTGGCAGCATTACTATATATTCAACAGATCCATTGTCCATAATTATGCAGTACTTCATTTTAAGTTGGCTCACATATGATTACTTGGTCGCGTTCCACAGACTACCATGAAGATCCTGAGGGATCCTGAGGGCAATTTCGAGTTATAGTTTGCTGTTTTCTGAACATTTATCTATATTAATAATTAGATCATTTGGATTTTTCACCATAAAAACAAGTGTGTTTTTGTAGGTGTGTGCTCTTTTGTTGTTTTTTCTCCCAATCTGCTGTCAAATTAAGGTTCAAATTAATTTTAACATGGTGACGTGGATCACAGTAGGTGACTGGGAATGAATTACAAAATCAGTGCATAAAGGATAAAGAGTACTTTTTACCCTGGTGAAGTACAGCGCCAATATACACACAAGACCATTTAGATTCACCCACACTATCTGTGAGAACAAACTAGTTGGTTTATTCTATCCATCTCTAATCCATGAGTATAGAGATATATTTTCTTTACAGGAACAGTATATTTATTTATTGATATATGTATTGCTCAAGTTAAAATATTTAAACCATTTTTGATTATACATTTTAAAAAATGGCTCCACTGTTTTGTAGTCTTTATTATTATTATTATCTTTAGCATTATTGCAAAACTTAATCGTCATTTTAAAGTATCCTAACTCAAATTATTCTTCCTCTCCCATAAACCAACGGCAAGGTCACGGCAAAGAACAATTGCTTACTTTAACCACTAGATGTCAACCGTGGAGTAATAATCAGTCCACGGCTGCAGGAAAATTGAGATGTCCTCTTTCCTTAGTCTTAAGTACGAGTGTAAGCTAAATTGAGAAAACCTTTTTAGATTTCACTTTACTAACGACTTTTTAAAGTGCATATGTGTCTATTACCACTTTTGGGCTAAGGAAAATCATTAACCAGCTCATGAATGCATTGCAGATGATAAAAGATTTAGCTTATTTTTTTAAATTAATATGATCTCCTAATTCATTATGACGCTTTATATAAATTTGAATTTAAATTTCTGGTGGCTGACAACAAAGTCATTTTCATTTTATTTTAAACTAATGTTCTTCAAATTTTCTGTATAGCGTATGTATGTCTAAAACATACAGTTGTTTTATTTTAATCTAGTATTCTGAAGGAAACACATTCTGCCACGCGAATTAATTAAACAGTTAGAAAGCTTAATTAGATATATTTAGATTAGATTATATAAAATTAGATTAGTGTATATTGGCATTACATTATGTCAAAAGGTAAACACTTGTAATTTACTGCTGTATGTGCATGGGTATAAATGAACGTTTATGGTGCAAAACGCATTTACTGCTGTATGTGCATGAGTATAAATGAACGTTTATGGTGCAAAACATATTGCCGATTCTATTTTAAACCTTTGTCATTAGTACCGATAGTGACGCCTTAAGATTGGGCTTTTATTTTGAAAATACTTGTCCAGGAAGGGATTCTATTTTTATTCTGTCTGTCTGGCCACGGTATGTGAGAAAGACTTGTACGGGAAGGGAAGAAGACGCTGTAGACGTGAGGGATCGTCCAAACCACTGGGTATGTCTCATAAAGGTTGAAATGTGGACGTTGCTAATAGCAGCACCAGTCCGTGTCTTTGATCAAAGTCAAATCTGTCGTCTGTTTGTGAGCTAAGCAGGCAGCTAAGCTAACTAGCCTTCCTCCCTGTTGTAATGTAATGCCTGCTGTCGTCTCTCTGTCTCACTGTCTCTGTCTCTCACACTTATCTCTAGTGTTGTCAGGTGGCTCACGGCATTTGAAGACGTACACTGTCCGCATTACCCCGACTTTTCCCCGCTGGCTTCGGAGACTTTTCTTTCTCTAGCTGTGACCGTTTTTTCGACCTAATTCAGGATGTCTGGACAGAGCATTACAGACAGGATAACCGCCGCACAGCACAGTGTCACCGGCTCGGCCATTTCCAAAACTGTGTGCAAGGCGACCACTCATGAGATAATGGGGCCAAAAAAGAAACACTTGGACTGTAAGTACACAATAACCTGTTTAAATATCAACCGTAAAGTCTTTCACAAAAAATAACGTCAACTATGGGATGTGATGTGGCTGTGAGGCCTGCATAGAAGCTACAGGCAACGGTGATGTTAAGGGTAACTTAGCCACTCTATTGCAGACCACTGTTAAAACAATAGCAGGGCTTTAAACATGTCACAACTCTTCTTTAATTCCTCTTTAAAAATGGCGACATCATATGATATTCCACTAGTGTGTTTATTACACGGTTTTACGTTAGCACCTTAACATTAGAAATGCTAATGAATGCCAACGTAAAATGCACTGGCTGTGCCACCGAGCAGCATATTATTTTGCTTTTATTATTCAGGACTGAAATCCTACAGTTTTCCCTTGGTAGTCATAAAAACATGCTAAAACAATGATGAAATGACAATAAATTAAGTACCAACAAAAAATAAATGTTTAATTTACTGTTTCTTATTAGTAACCCTGTGTTGGACTCCATGAAGTAACTCTGGTGTTGTACTTTCATCAACACGAAACAAAGTTTCATGTCAAAAACCTTAAAATTATAGTTATTTATTTTCTGCTGTGACAGTCAGGTGTTACCTTGTATGTGTGTCACATGACATACTTCTGCACAGTACTGACAGGTATGCAGGTGGGTCTGCAGCTGCCTTTTGCTCTGTCTTTATTTCAGAAAGTGACTGTGTGTGGTTGTGGACTTTGATACTCAGCACATAAGCAAGTGGCAATAAGGAAGGGTCATCCAGTCAGTTTCCTCTCTTTGAATAAAAGTGTTGATAATTTTGAGGCTATTATACATTTTAGCATCCATCTTGACTCGTTGACTTTTAATGCTCTTATTAGGTTGAACTACTGGTTAAATAATCCCGTCTCTTTGTTTCCACGCTAAGGTCATGATTGTAGAATTTGTTGACAAATTCAGTGATGTCAAAGGCATGACTGTCACTGTTAGTCATTGTTTGAATTGAGTATTCAGAGTCTGCATGTTTGTTGCAGTTCCTCTTTGGGATAAGGGATGTTTTTGCAGTGTTGTCTGTTCTTTGAGAACTTGACATTTTCACATTCTCAACTGCTTTGCATAATCATTTGACATCTTAGAGAATATGATATTTACACTTGACCTCAACATGGATCCGTGTTTGGTTCACAGACCTACAGGGATTTTGCTGTTTAGGTGACATATCGGCTCTCCTTATAGTGAAGAGTTTTCTATACACCAGGTATACATATATATATTCATCAGGGTTTGCAGCCTTATGCCTCAAGATCTGCTTTTTTATGAGGTTTTTCAAGATGATTTTAGTTCCTGGCAAGTTATTGGAGTACAGACAGAAGTCTGTAAATTTTGCACAACTTTAATATATTTTGAGTGGGATATATAACAGCACATAAAGCATGTACTCCATACTTTAGGCTGGGTCACAATGGATTATTGACCTAATGTGATTATTTAAAATTGGTTATATAGATTCTGGGAGAGAGGTTAAATAGTTTAAATAGAGAGATAGCTTTAAAAAAGTTTTTATACTAACAAACAAAATAGCACTTTTTCTAATTTAAATCAATGTTGTATCTTTTTTGTTCTCTGTAGTAATCATTTTTTCCATCCTACTTTTTAGTAGGAGTTTCTGACAATTTCCTGACAACAAATTATCAAAAAACTTTGTTTATACTGTTGTTACCATACAAATATCCTGTGGAAGTGATTCTTATATTCATCACATTGTCTTCATGTTGTGAGTTTATGCATTGGGGTTTTCCTAAGTTATCTTTCTATTTTAAACATTTCTTTGCAAGTTATCTTTCTATTTTAAACATTTCTATTTTCATTTAGTTAAGACTATTTTGGGTTCTGCCCACATCTGTCTACATTTCAAGCTTAACCCAGCAAAGCGGGCTCCAGAGTTGACAGCCTAGACAGCAGACGTGCAATCTACTTACAATGCAAATTGATCATTTCAGTTTAATTTAAATGGAAGGCTTCCATCTGTCATCCCTTTGTAAGGTTTTTAATGATATCTCTGCCCACACAAAGATAATTCAGGTATTCTTGTGTTGCTTGTCTGGGGTTTGAATAGTATGATGATTACCATGCTTTTGTTTGGATAAAATGGTTAAAATCCAGGTCAGACTTCTTGTTAGATGTTGGTCTGATCCGTCAGACATTGGAATTTAGAGACTTTCGGTCACAAAAATAGTAAAGAGCCCTTATTTATTACATCAGTAAATGATTGGTAGTAATGTGTAGACAGCTTTACACTCTGCAATTAATGAATGTTAAAAAAAAATCACTGCTCATTTTGGCCAGGTGTACCTGAGACGTAATGTCTTAGTTGAACTAACATTTTTATGTGTATGTGGAACAGCCTGTTTAACTTGGAACTATAGAAACACTGGTTTCTTAAAAACAAATTACATTTCAATCCCCTTTCCTCATTTTTAAAAATTTCAGTTCCGTGTTGACGAACAAGTGCTGCTGTATTTGAAGTTGTAACCTGTAATCAAAAGAAGCTTGAGTTGATGTGGCTGTATTCTATTAAGACAGTTTCCTGGTGACCTTTCTGTTTCCAGTGAAGCAAGTTATATGTAGCTGTTCTGTAAAGCTATTGAAGTAAAACTTCTCCTTAGTGATCCACATAGAGACCTTCTCCTTGGCAAGAATCTCACTTAGGTTCAAGTTATTTAAAGATAGCTGAAGGGGCACTTGTGTGTTGGACACACATTGCCCCCTGTGTTCCTACAGTCTGGATTGAAGGTGAGATATGGCCATCTACAATGCCTATGTTGAGTTCCTGATGGAACACAGTTCACATTCTTTAACACTGGTGTGCTAGTTAAACTCACTCACATAACTTTAAAGAGACTTTGCTGTTAGCAGACTAGGAAAAGTAAAGGCGGAAGAAATCAGCCTCTCCTTTAAGTGTATTTACCTTTGTGTTTAATTAAAGTGAACATGAAAGAACATAAAAAAAGCAACACTACTGAGTTGCAGCATATATTTGTTGGCTTATATTGGGTGTATGTGGTGACTTTGAAAACATCCATTGAATTTGAACCAGGGAAATGCTGTATGTTTGAGTTGTTATTGATCACTGTCTGTGGTAATTTAAAATATAGTCATCATTGTCAAATGTGTAATACAGCTTAACATAATTGGCTGCAGAGAAGTTCAGTGTAAGAGGGAGTGAGGGAGGGAAGGAGTGATAGAGAGATGAAAGTTGTGGGACATTTGGATAGTTGGTGTCACACTTTAAGAAGAAACTGTGAATCATGATGCTCTGTAGAAAATGGCAAAAAGGAATGAGTCTGCCAATTCATCTGTTTGCTCTGCCAAAAAATTCTGTCATGTGCATAGGTTACATCCAATATAAAATCTCCAATCAAAATTGTTTTACACAGTATGTTAATGTTTTAATTTGTTTGTTAATATTTTTTATTTGATCCACCTTTTCATTATGCACACGTGGAAGTGAATAGGTGACAGAAGAAGGTTAACTAATGACGCATCAAATGTTGCAGTATTACTTGAACCAGACAGCTGTGGTTCACTGCTTTCATAGTTCAGTGTTAGCGGTTTGCAAACCTTTGTGTTACATTTTCTGTCTCGGTTTCAGTGACATTTTTAATTTTCTCACAGGGGTAGTCATGTCTTATCATTGAAAGGGTTATAATGACTTTGTAGTCTTCACGCTGTGTGATCATCATTGAAATAAAAATTATGTTTACAGTTTGTTAGGTGTCACAAATTTGTCATGTAAATGGACATTGTTAAAAAAATGTCTAATGCTTTTAAGTGCATTTTTATGTAGTGAATCAAACCATTCTCAAATATCAAACAACTGATTTATGATAACAGTGCTCTGTTATCAGTATGTTTCACATGGGATTAATTCTCTCTTTGATGATGCCTGTGCATGCCTTGCATGCTAAAACTAGTAAAAGTAGAGTTTCTTCCTGAACCTTCACACAGTGGGGTTTTCTGACTGTATATTGTTTATCTGAGCCAATATGGCAGATGCAGTCTTATGAATCCGTACCCTTGCTTCCTCGAAGGTCTTTCTCATGGTTTCACCCTCCATATAGTTTCGTGCATGTAGCATGTGACTGCAGGGGCATCAAGTGACAGCCCTTTTAAAAGCGTGCTGATCTCTCTGTCCACCAGCTGTGCTGAATGGAGGGCACTGTGACTCTGAAAGGCCTGTGGGATTAACGGATGGCCGTGATGTGCGCTCTCCTGCACTACTCTGTGGTTTGTCAGTCATTTCTAATCAGAAACCAATGAAAAAAATGGACTAAACAATGTAAAGAAAGGTGTAAGCATGTTGTGATAATTACTTCATCAATTTATAAAACGTGTGACCTGGCTGTCAAAATTATCATGTTAGTTGCAATTTGTGAAATGAATTAGATTTCATTTTGTTTAATGCATTTCATTGTATTAGCAGAATGATGGGCACTAAATTGTATGTCAATGGGCAATAATATACAATAATACCACTCTCCATCTATTTAAAAAGCTCTGAAACACAGTCAATACACATGTTGTTAAAATTGATGTTTTGGTTTAAAGAAAAAGTTGAAAAATGTTCCTTTCAACCAAGCTTGAACTAAAAATATTCAATTTCAGGTCAGACGCCCAGCTTGCACCACACCTGCAATTGCAAGGCAATAAATAAGACTGCGGCTGACAAGCTAACTGAAACTATTGTCTGCTTAATGTTATTGAGGACAACGTGTTCACTTAAGTTTTACAAGTCACTGTCAACATGCACAGTAATGACTTACGTGGGTTATACCTTTCCATATTTTTCTTGACATTTTTATTTTAATATCTATCATTTTTAGCAAAATACTCAACTAGTTGTGATAACCCTACACATTACTAATAACAGTTTAACTAGTATCGACTGGTCAGTGCTGTTCAAACTCAACACTTGTCTTTGAGTTTGGACAGTTAAACCTTGTTAGGTCTTCTTTTAGTTA